TTATTATTTATGGTAAATATACATAAAACCTCTAGTTCTAATGTGATTCTGTTTAGATTATATGAAACCTAGCTTGAATCTATCTCTCTGTCTATATATACGTATATGTCGATGTATATATTATAAATAAATATTCATACTACGTACACAGATTGAAGAAGGCTCTAGATAAATTAATTAGAGAGCAAGTAATTGTAAGATGATTAATAATATTGATAATGATGATGATGGGGTGGACAAGATCAGCCAGCTGCCGGACGATATTCTCGTATCGATAATCTCATGGCTACCGGTGGCCGAAGCTGTGTGCACGAGCGTCCTATCCACACGTTGGCGTGGGCTCCACAAGTACACCACCCGTCTCGATTTTTCTCCAACCTCCAAACAACTAGGAGCGTTTAAAGATCAAGAAGAGAAGCGCAGCCGCAAAAAAGGTATTTTTCTCTCTCTCTATATATATGCCTGATACACAGAAAAAACCCTGACACATAATTATTTAATTAAGCAAGACAACATGATCGATTAATCCCTTAATTATAATTTAAAACTTCACATACATAATAATAATTTAATTCAAAAGGCTGCCGCCAATTCCAAGAAAGTCTATAAACGGCGGTGCGGTTATTTCCTCTGCAGTTCCTACTACAATTAATGCCTGCAGTTGAAACTTGCTGCCTGCTAACGACGCTGTGAATATTTCTTAATAATAATAATTAGGGAAATCATTATTATTATTAAACCAAGATATGTCTGTGGTGCCCATATAGGTGATGATCGAGTATTCGATGAGGAGGTCGAAAGAAGTTGCGCTAGCATAATCGATCGCACATTGGACTCACTCAAGGGAGGTGCGGCTCTAGAAGAAATTCGACTCTACTTACCTTGGTTCCAGATAAACACGTGGTCGGACGACGAGACGACATGGCCAATCGAGAGGTGGCTCGATTTCGCGTTTTCCAAAAAATTCGTCCGAACCGTCCACCTACACTTAAATTCCGTTCACGCATCGGCCCGTTTCCCCTTTCCTCCTTGTAATTTCGAAAGAAACTTACCGGCCTTCAAATCACTAAAAGAACTATCTCTACAAGGCGTTGTTTTCGACGACGAGGGTTTGAGGCTACTACTTTCGAATTCCGTCGCTCTCGAGCGCCTCTCGATTTCGCGTAACGATGCATTGAGCGACGTGCGTATATCTGGCGATTTGGCGCCAAAGTTGAAGCACTTGAGCATAAGTACGTGTTGGAGTATCAAAACCATGGAGATTAGAGACATGACGAACCTCGAATCTATGAGGTTTCATGAATTTCCGCGTTATTGTCTGCTCGTGATAGCAAATGTGCCGAGACTTGTTGAGTTGGACACTGATTGTATCAAAATCGGAACTGAAATCCTCTCGCGCGGCAATATAATTAGTGAGCAATTGGCGAAGGTTAAACATGTGGAGTTGGAATGTCATCTATCCAGGAATAGTATTAGCTTCCAGGAACTCGTTTGTTTCATCGACGCTTGTCCGTGCTTGCAGAGACTCGAGATTAAGGTAATTTATATATCCTAATATTTTATAAATTATCCAAAAATTGATCAAGTACTGGACTCGATTATATTCATATATGTACATTAATATATTGTTATAATTTTGCAGTTTACGGCAACAAGGTTTGACGAACGATATTATCGTATGAAGGTGGTGAACAAGGCCTCAAATGATGATCATCCGAAAACGGTGAAACTGTCGGGACTCGAAGCATCCCCGAATGAAGTGGAACTCGGGGTGCTCGTTGTTGGAAAAGCTACGGCACTTGAAGAGCTTATCGTGGAAATTAGCCCCGACAAAAGTTACACAAGCCGAGAAAGGACGATCGCTCGTGTGCGGAAACAATTTCAACCAATACTACAAGATTCGATTAATTTTGTTGTAGTCTAGATATTTAATTTAATTCAAGACCATCGAATTTATATTATATACTGCTTGGTTGTGCTTGAGAATGCCCTGTTTGTGCCATCTTGGTGCAAACAAGTTTATATATATAACAGCAGTTCTTTTCGATAATTTTCCGACATGATTAGCATATTACGTAAATTACAATAAACACATTATCAACATAAATCAAATACATAAGACACATAATGGTACATTTATTAATTATAATAATCAAACAAACAAAACAAATGATTAATATACCAAATCAAACAACAGCAACTGAAATTGAAGGTCTCTTAAAAATGCAAACTTTACAGAGAGGTGAATAGAGAGATGGAGTCAAGTACTTGTCTTCTCCGCCCATCATCGGCATCGGAACTCCTCTCTTCACCGGACTTACGTACCCCGGCCGGTACGTCTTCCCCAAAACACCCTCCACATCGTCGGACAAATCGAAAAACTTAAACTGCGTCTCGAGATGGACAAACGCGTCACCGAGTAGGCAATTGATAGTTGTGAACCCTATTTTCCTCTTCCCCGATTGGAGTCACGCGCACGTCGATCTCGACCAATCCCGTCACCGTTACCCTAACGGTGTTGACGTCGTCGGTCCTCTCGACGACGACTTCTCTCTCTGCGCCGTTTGCCCTCCACTCCGCCTCGCCGTCGGTCGGGACGGTGATCGATTCGCCATTCCACTTCACGATGAGCGCGTCGGCGTCGCTCCATTGTCGGACTTTTTTGGCTCCTAGGGTTAGTGTGTGCGCATCGAACATGATCGATAGAGCTTGCACCCACGTGTAATCGCGAGTTCGCCCCTGAGGCCTAGTACCGATGAGGTGCGCGTTGATTTGGAGATTCTCGTCGGAGACGATGGCAAAATCGCCGCCCTTAGCGCCGTGGAAGTAGAACATGACGCCGTCGCCGCCGATGAAGCGTGGATCGTAACATAGGGCGCCATATCCGGTGCACTTGGGCCTTCTCCCTACATACGTGATTAATTACATACATTATATAATTGCATTTAGGACCCCTATATAATGTATAATTGCTAAAAAAGATCCAGTATCATTTTTTTGTAGCAAAAACACCCTTATAATGCATTTTTTATCAGACAACCCCCTAAAAAAGTGAGTTTTATGGGTAGTTTGCTGAGAAAAAAAATGGATCATAGGGGGGTTTTTTGCTGATAAAAAATAATATGGGGTTTTTTTTTAACAATTAGAGAAAAGATAGGGGGGTTAAATGTAATAAAAAAGTTGAGTTGGACTTACATTTGCAAGTGACTTCACACTTGCTACTGCAGTCAACAAAGCATCCCTTTTGCTTCTTGTTCTTCTTGGGCTTCCTTTGAGGGCATTGAGAAGGGCATGTGAGGGTCTTGAAATTGCATTTGCCTCTTGCTTTGCAGAAAGCTCTTTCTTCTTGCGTGTTTGGCAATGGCGCTAACGGTGTGTAGTTAGTCGAAGCCGCATCGTTCAGAGGCGGCTTCTGTTTACTTCCGCCTGCGTTGCCATTCCCGTTCCCGTTCCCATTCCCATTCCCATTCCCATTCCCATTCCCATTCCCGTTACCGTTCCCATTCCCATTCCCGTTTCCGTTCCCATTACCGTTTCCGTTGCCATTCCCGTTACCGTTGCCATTCTCACTCCCGTTCCCATTGCCGTTGTTATTACCATTGTTGGAGCCGTTGCCGTTCCCGTTGTTGTTACCGTTGTTACTACCATTCCCGTTGCCATTGTTATTACCATTGTCGTCGCCTTGGGCAAGAATGGTGCCGACCTCCATCGAGACGAACAGAAGGACAAAAGCCATCAAGAAACACAGCTTCCTCGCCTCCATAACTTTTTTTTTTATCAACTTCTCATGCAAATTCGAAGTTTTCTGTTTTTTTCTACTTTCAAATGATTTTTTGCTATGGACAAACAAACACGAAATGCAGGCATTTAAATAGGTACTCGGGTAAACGAAAGATCGCCGTGGAATTTGGCTAAAGTTATGTGAGTTAGCTTATTCCCATGGCGAAAACAGCTGTTAGAAGTTGGCTTTTTATTTGATTCTTCTCAGAATAATCAACACAACCTTGAACTAACATGTTCTGCTTGAGTCTCTCGTAAGTCAACTCCATTGACTATTCTAATAACTATCATGCTTTTGTTATCTAGCATTGTTGTTTATTTATGAAATTCCTTATTATAAATCTTTATTATTATTATTATTATTATTTCGGCCACCCCTGAGGTAATGTCAAATTACTAAAACCCCCTTATGCTTGGGTAATTACAGCCACACCTCAACTATGAATCTTCTTACACGTTCATCCTTGCGGTGTCAAATTTAGTAGAATCTTCTAAATTATGTGGAATATTCTCTAGTAGGTACTCGTTTTATCCCATTCGAACTCCACATTTTGAAACAAGATGATCATAAGGTGTATCACTTGGCTTATAAATATCAGATTGTGGTGCATTATAAACTGCATTTTTGCACAAAACGAGTACAACTATAGAAATTCCACTAACGTGGAAGATTCTATTGAATTTGACACCATGAGGATAGACATGTAATTAGATTCATAGTTGAGGGAATGATTGTAATTACCCAAACGGAAGAGGTTTCTTCATAATTTGTTCTCACCTCGGGGGGGTTGACCGTAATTTACCCTTACTATTATCAGTTCCAACCTGGAAATTTTGGTTATGACTTATGATGGATGGTCTTTAATCCCTTTCTCAAGGCAGAAGCTATTTCAGACATAAAAAAATATGCACAAGTACAGCTTTGAGATTTGCAGAAGGCTTACTTTCTACACTATCCAAAAGTCAGAACAACAATTTAATTTTTATTATTAAAAAAAAAAAAAAACAATATACAAATTTACATAGGAAGTTACTTTGTCATACACATTGAGTAGAAAAGACCCTTTCAGGCCGGTGTTGATACAAAATTGCCAACGCGATTAACATGCTTTTCTAGCCAAAACGCGTCCCGAAATTTTGTAAAGACACGTTTTTTAGGTGTAATAATACAACAATTCAATCAACGGACAGATCCATGTGTAATATAATAATAATTATGAAGTGATGAACAAATTCTGCACAACATACGTTATCTGATACGAGTTTGACAGTAATTTGTAATAACTGCGACTTCTTAGTCAGCATCGAGGATTCGAACAACTATAATCAACTTTTTATAAACTATGTAGTATGTACAACGGAGGTGTACAATTTTTTTAAGACATGCTAAATAATTTTTGGTTCGTTAAATTATCGGGAGATCATACTTGGGTTTCTCGGAGAGAATCAGATCCTCAGAAGGCAATAATGAGGTGCTGGTCGATGCTTCTTGGCTGGTCTCGTTCACCATCTTCAAGAAATAACTGTGCCTGTATAGTAATATTGGAGATAGTTTAGGGACTAAATAAATAAATAAGAAAAAGTTTAGTACACAAAGAACACGAGACAGACCATCGGGTGTCTGCAGTAAGCTCCGGGTGAAAAGCAGTTGCTAGCAAGTTCCCTTGCTTTACAGCAACTATCACTTTCTTTTCAGATCCGGCATTTTCCTGAAGGGTAATTTAGTAATTTATGATTTGATTGAAAAAATCAAATTGCTGAAAGTACCATATGAAAAAAAATTATTAACATTTTCATTTAGGTCTCTGCATATGACGATTTTCTCACTTATTAACATTAATCAATTTCAGATGTGAGTAGGTTTATCATAAGATGAGAGACGAATTCACCGAAACATATATACATTTCATTTAGGATAATTAAATAAATAGATATAACTCTCTACCTCTAGACTTTCAGGGGCAGAATCAGATTTAGTACTTGTGTGAGATGGAGCAGAAATTTCTGCCAACACTTGTACTTCCGGGCCCACTTCAAGAATTCCGGGGGCCCGAATAAACACACCACGGAAACTTGGAGGACCACCTTCTTTGGCCACAATTTCCGGAACAGAAATCTCAGCCTCAAAGCTTTGAATCTGATCCAGTGATATCCATTTTCAGATTAAGTGTTATTAAAAGTGTTAATCAGAAAAATCAAGAATTAACGAGCATTTGAAATATCTATCTTCGAACTTACAAAAGTTGTAAATAAAATTAGTGAACTCAAGAAGAATGTTACGCGTATGGTACCTGACTACCAAAGAAGTTTCGATGAACGGTGCAATTAAGGCCGCCAATAAGTTCCTGTCCGCCAAGTTTCTGCCCTGAAACAAGATTGATCAATTTTAAAACTTAATTACAAGACTCCATAATCCTTAAAAGTTAAGAACCTAGTAGAAGCGTAACGTAATAATTGTAAAAATAAATACCTACCAATTGCTTTGTCAGCTAAAAAAATAAGGCCTGCACATGTCCCCCAAACCGGATTTCCCATTTTCACAAAATCCCGTAATGCCGGAAACTGCAGTTGTAACAAAATTCAGCACAAAGAGCAAGAGAATGTCAAAGAATTCAGTATTCCAATTTCAATTTCCTCGTGTTTCATAAGCCATTGACGACTTATCAAAAGCATTTCAATTTCCTCGTGTTTCATACGACACACATAACCTTAAAATTCAAGCTTCGTAGAGTTGAACATTTCATTGATAGGATT